AAAGAGGATCAGTGGATGAGAAGTACAGCTTTCAATGAAGATCGCATATAAAACTATCCAGAAGAAAACTGGGAAGTGAAAACTCACCCGCAGACAAGGTTAGCAAACCCCACAATTATACCCGATGCGAATATGGCATAGCCAGCTCTTAGGGACTCCGGGTCGTACATTTTGGACGAAGGTACACTTTCTAGCTTCGTCTGGAGAATAATGGCCACAATGACCCCATATATGGCAACAGCCTCACAGAATATCACACTGACAAAATGGTTAGAAGATAATTTAATCGTGAACCATGTGAATTGAAACTAATGCATTTCCGACTTAACTAATACCATCAACATGTCAAATTTTACTATTAACAAAAGAAAAGCAAGTATTTCAAAGATAATGTTTAAAATGTTGTTAGGTTTCAATAGTTATCGGGCTGATAAACTATAAGGATCTGCAATTATCTCACTTTCTCGTTTAGATTATCAGTTTCATTGTGTCAACAGAAACAACATATGAAATGGATATGATGAAACTAGTAACTCTGTTTATATTGTTTAATAACAAACAAATACACAAGAGGATAGGACAGCTCCATTCACTGGCACCACTCCAAACAAAAAAAAAAAACAAATCATTAAGTTCCTCGTGAATAAAATTCCAACTGTAAAATATGATTTAACCCAAATTTTCTCCAAATTTTGGCCCCTATCTTCAAAGACCCTTCTATTTCTTTCTAACTAAAGAGACCAACATGCAGCATTCAGAATCCCTCCCCGGAGCAGTTGGTCCGGGGTGTTAAAAAATAGGTCAGCATTAAAGTGATTAGCTCATTGTGGGGGTAGTCCACTGCATGCTCTTGTGCTTCCTTAAACCATAAACTAACGCAGAAGGGAAATAATAAAGACACGATCAAGTCTTGCAAATGATTCCAACATAGAACATTCGGACTTGGAGATGAAAGAAATGAAAAAAAAAAACGTTTTCGGAGAACTTTGCAAGTATGCATTTTACTCTTAACCAGTAGCTATGAAATCGACTACTAGAAACCATTAAAACTCCTCAGATCAGAAGATGATCAGCTTTAAGTACCCAGCAATCTAAGAGATTATGCATGGACCTGTGGGCCAAGATTTTGATCAACCCTACTCGAGGAACTACTTTTTTGTTGCTATTTGTTTTTCTGTTTCTGGAGAAGAACAGAAATGCCTGGACAAGTTAAAGCATGAGTTACACTGTCACATCTAGCTTATCAATTTTTTAACTCCTATCATACTCCTTAAAAATGATAATTAGCTCATTTCCTTGCTTCGCTCTGCTCTTCATCAAATTAGATTAACTTATTTCCTTGCTTCGCTCATCAATTTTGTCCATTAAAATGGAAAAAAATGGAAACCTAAAAATGACGTTAAAATAAACCATAATTAATATAGCAGCGGGATCAGAAGTCATAATTACAAACATGCAATATACCCTGAAATCATACAACAAAGTTCTAACTTACAATGTTGAGCATATCATCCAACATACGCCTATTAAACATCAATAAGCGCGATTTCTTACAAGCCAATTGAAGCACAGACCGCCTATATATATATATAACAGCAGAGACCTATAAAAGACCCAACAGAAAAGCTGAAGAGAGAATGAGCAAGAAGATCACCGCCATATTTCTACCTTAGGTATATCCTAATTCCTAAAAGCTAAATAATAGCTGTGAAACTTCAATCCATAGATTACCCTCAAATAAGACTGATGAATGACTGGTAATATAATGTCAAAGTTTACATGATAATTCCTGCAAAAACTAGCTCTCACTACACCAAACACAATGAAATAAATTACAGACATTATTGAAAAATCTAAAGCAACGGATCTGATTATAAGACAAGTACCTGATTAGATTTTTCGAGGTAATGCGAGGAGCTTTGATGGCGGCACCGATTAAACTACTCCCCGTTATATATATTCCCCTAACAATTTCCAAAAACTCAAAATAATCAGGCCCAAAAAAAAGGAAGAAAACAGAGCACGAGTACGAGGAAATACGATACCAGGCGGCGCCGAGGACGGAGACGCCGATGGATATGGCGATTCCGATGGCGGAGAAGGTGTACGGAGAGATCCGAACCAGAGCTTGTCCCCATGAGCCGTATGACGTCACCATCGTGGTGTCCAGAACTTGTTAAACTTCCCAATCTCTCTCTCTCTCTCTCTCTCTCTCTCTCTACCTCTTGTTGAGATCGGAAGAGAGAACAGATTTTTTCTGATCGAATTAATTCGATCGTGGGAGTATGATATTTGGGCTGCATCGATTTGGGCTTCATAGATTAAGCGGTATAGTTAATTAGACGGGCTTCGATTGAAAGCCCAATATATCGTACTTCTGATGTGCAGTGGCACGGGCCTATTTTATTGTTATAAAAAATTACATCATTCATCTTTTTTTTTTTTTTTTTGGGAACGATAGAAGTACTATTATAAATAAAAAACGCACAAATGTGCGAATAAAAGTACAAAGCTTCCAACGGGAGAATAAAATGGGAGGACAGGTCAGAAGCCCGCCTAGAATCCCGCTAGCACATTGCAAATAAAAGTACAAAGCTTCCAACGGGAGAATAAAATGGTAGGACAGGTCAGAAGCACGCCTAGAATCCCGCTAGCACATCATTCATCTTCAAATTTCATTTTATTTTTATGTTTAAACTTTTTTTTTTTTATTATAAATTGACGACCTTTTTACAATTTTATTTTTAGTTTATGTTGGTTTATTTTTATCATTAATTTTTAAAATTGCATTATTATTTTGTTTATACTAGTTTATGAATAGTATATATAATTGTTCTTTAAAAGTCATATTTTTGCAGAAGTTTTGGAAAAGTGCAATGAATACGTAAAATATATTTATAGAGTCCCAACTCCCATCCAAGTATAGAAATTATTGTCCAACAAAATTCGAAGTTCCCATGACGAAAACTTGTTGAAAGAACAATTTTTCTATCCCAAAAGATAAATAAAAAGTTATCATATTACTATGCAAATCAGTTTCAAGAAAATTCAATAAACAATTTTTTTTTTTTTTAAAAAAAGCAATTTAAAAAAGAGTGGTTTATTTCCAGAATATAAGTCACCAGAGTATAGCACATCATCTCAATTTTTTTGGTCTTTATAAAAATACTAGCTCAGACTTTAAATGCAAACTATAAGAAACGGGGGCAAAATGGGTACGGTCCCACGCACATCACTACAAAATAAATATTATATTCCAACAGAAAATCCTATGGTAATATATTCCAATAGAAATTCCAACGGATATTCCAATGGAATAGCTTCCGTTGGAATAGATCCAACAGAAATTCCAACGGAAATATTCAGTTGGAATGTGTTTTTTATTGGAATTTTAGATAGAATTTGATGATTCTAACGGCTATATTTCCAACGGTTTTTTACCGTAGGAATTTCCGTTGGAATATGCAAATTCCGTTGGAATTTTTTTTTTCCACCTCCGTTGGAAAATCCACCATTGGAATCGTCAAAATCCAACGGAAATTCCAATGGAAAACTCATTCCAACGGAATATTTTCGTTGGAATCCATTAAAAAATTACAACGGAATTAATAGTATTGAAATATCTGTTGGAATTGTCATTGGAATAAATTTTTTGAAATATATTTCAGTTGGAATTTCATCATTTTCTTGTAGTGCATGAAACACACCAAAACAGGGAAAACTCAGATGAAGCCCAAGTGGAGTCCATCCCAAAACCAATTGGTAGGAGGAGAGTAGCCCATTAGACTTATAAATTATGTTTATTTTCCCTATATAAATGATGTGAGATAATTCACAAATGAATATATTCTAATATGCCCCTCGCTTGTGAGTCTTTAATAAGAAAGCCCCAAACTTTACTAGAAACAAGTTCCCATAAACGGACACGTGGGGAAAAATGGGTACTAGAAACAGGATCCCATAAATGGGTACGTGTGGAAAAACAAGTACTAGAAACAGGATCTCATACACGGATACGTGTGGGAAACCGGGTACGTCATCACACGGCGCCCCATAGAACCGGCTATGATACCATGTAAGAAACGGAGGCAAAACGGGTGCGGTCTACGCACATGAAGCTCAATGAAGACAGGGAAAACTCAGATGGAACCCAAGTGACGTTCCATCCCAAAATCAACTGGAGGAAGGAGTAGCCCATTAGACTTATAAATTATGTCTATTTTCCCATATAAACAATGTGAGCCAACTCACAAAAAAATGTTCTAATACAAACAATACAATAAGTCTAGATAATGTGTCAAGTAAAAAAAATAAAAATACATAACATGATAACAATATGATACTAAGTCTATATGATGTGTATTAAAAAATAAATAAATAAATAAACCAGGTATCTACTTGTGTATGTAAGAAAAGTTGATAAATGATTAAATAATGTGTAATCAAATGATTACATGTTATTTAGATCAACTTTTAAAATTATTAGAATATAATTTGTTAGTTGTCCTACGTCTCTTCTGTTATGGGAAATGAGCCTAGCATATAAGTTTAGTGGGTCGTTTTCTCTTATTCTTTACGATATCAGAGCGGACATGACCTAGGACCTGCAATGGCGTACTCTTTACCCGACATGCTCTGTGGGCTTGAGTTTCGTATGAAAGACTCACAAGTGAACGAGTGTACTAGAATATCACATTTAGTAGTCTTATATCCCTTCTATAGAAAAAAAATGTCAAACCGGGGGCAAATCGAGTGCGGTCCCACACAAGTAAAGCGCACCATAAAAGTTTTAGCCCAAATGAAACCCAAGTGAGGTTCCATCTCAAAACAATTGGTGATGTGAGGAGTAGTCTACTAGACTTATAAACTAGGCTCATTTACCCTATCAAATCAATGTAAGACAACTCACAAGTGATATTCCCAACACGCCCCCTCACTTGTGAGCCCTTCATAGCCCACGCCTCTGTTGTAAGTATTTTTACCGGAGTAGAATCGAAAGATTCAACACCGGGTCGTATC